AAAATCCCAATACCCCCCCCCCCCCCAAACCTGACACAGGTGGACACCTCTCATATTCCTCCCCCGATGCCTCCCGCGATGACACATCCCCCCTCATTAAAATGCACATCACATTCCCACAACATTTCAATCGCCCCCACATCATAACTGTAATTACCGAGAACTAGAACATTTTTGTTTGACGGTAGTTTGTTGCTCCCACTGTTCTGCACTTCGGCCAGAATGGAGGACCTGAAAGAGTCGAAAAATTTTCATTAAAAAAATTGATAAAAACAATCCAAAAACAAATAGAATCGCCTCATGCCGAGTGAGTGGTGTGGACGCATGCGAAAAGTGGAATACGTGGGTGTTCTGGCCTCGACTCAACGGCAATTCGTTGATTAATTGGGGCTCTTCGAGGATTTTTTATGAATTTCGGGGTGCACGTACCACAGATTGTCTTTATTGTCGACGTCCTCTCTCTTTTTCAGCTGAAATCCATTGGTCTGCGACATGGTTTCAATCGCTGTCGCTGCCATTATCCATTTGACAGCATGAACTGCACTGAATCGATCTGGCGATATCGATTGCTGGGGGGACGAGTGGACGGGTGCGGCTCGTGACTGAGTTCAAGGCGCTCATTCGTGTTGGTAATGAAGGGAATCCCTCGATCGATGGTGACATGTGGTTTTATGTGGTCTAGGGAGGGGATTGAGGATAGACTGCAAATAACAACCATCTCAAGAATAAATGGTGCTTGTCTCTAATTGAATAGAGGATATAACCATAACGAATTGAAGAAGAAGAAGAAGATCTCAAGAATAAGATCAAACCATTTCAATCTCAACCAAAGCCTTTACAGGAAAAGAATTGTCAACTTCCGCCTCTGCTCTTGCAAACAAATAGAATCTCTCTCACATGTTTTTTGGTACTGTCCAAAGTATACAAAAGAGCGTTCAACACTCGGCAAACCATTAAAAAAGCTAAACATAGAATCTTACAACATAACTAAAATCCTGACGTCTCCCTCCTCAAAATTATCATACATCACAATAAATTACCTCGGATCCATCAACAAATTAATTTAAAAAATTCGAATTCTTCGCCCAATACTCTTTACCGACAACCACAGCTTCTGAAAGGTCCTTATAGAGGGCAACCATACAGTCAGTGCCATGACAATTGAAGAAGAAGAAGAAGTAGGGTATTGAGGGGGCAGAACGGGAGTACCGAGGCTCGTGTGGAAGTATTTTGTGTACAAAGTTGATATTGTTCTGAGGGAAACACGTGTCAGACAGGTTTTATTGGGGTAAAGGGTTCATAGGGTGAATTTTGGAGAGGATTTGGGGCTGATCGAGATGGAGGAAGGTAATGTTATTTTGTTATTGACGGAGTGGTTAATGGAATGGATTATTAATTGTTGGGGGAGGTTTGAGGTTAGGGGGAGTTGATATGTTGGTGGAGGGTTTTTAAGGGATATTTTGGAAAATAAGGGGGATAGCAAAATTTTTGTTGAGAACTTTTTTATGGAGAATTTCATAAGCTGCAGAAAAGGTTCTGATGATTGTTTCCGTATCTCCTTTAGATTTGAAGATATTCGAGAAAAAATGATTGAGTTTATAACACAAATTTTTTTGTTTTTTGATTCGGGCATTCGGGGATTTTTTTTCACTGTGAAAAATGTCCCGGAGAAAAATCTCTAGAAAATTTTTCTCCTGAAAACTTTTCCACAAGAAATTTTCCATATCCTCAAGAAAAAAAACCATGTGAAATTTCCCTGGGAAATATTACATACATTCGAACACAATATCAACTCATCTTTATGTAGTCGACAATTTCTGCACATCTTCAAGGTGAACATCTACGAGACAAAATTACTAACATTACAATAAGCTGAATTTTTGTCATTAAATTTTCATTTTTCCCTTCTTCAAAAAAAAAAAAAATTCAATTAGCATTTTCTGAAGAAAAACTCCGAACAAAATCCCACATGAAAAAAAGTCGTAAGGAAAGTTAATCTCAAGGAGAAGAATTCGCCGAGGAAGTATTGACGGGGAAAAATTTCCGGTAATTTTTCAGCGGGGAAAAAAATCCGGGGGAAATTTCCAAGGGAACAATTCGCCGGGGGAAAAATTCCGGGAATTTCTCTTCGGAGAAAAAACTCCGGTCACCGTTACCCCTCCGAAATTGCCGACGATGCAGGGCACCAGGTCGGGAATGCCCTCCGCGTCCGATCAGGCTTTCACCCGCCCGAATTTTCCCATTTTCCAGATGCAAAATCCAAGCCCCCGCGGCCCCCAAAAAACCCCGTAAACAAACAGAAACTGGCGCGTCACCGTCGAGGTGACGGCCTCCCGCTGAGGCCCGGGAGGACCTCCATAAAAAACAAGACCCTCCTGAAAAAGCTCCGGCTCCGCGAGAAGGCCATTGAGCGAGCCGCGGAGCAGGCAGCCCGCGCCGAGCTCCTCCTCACCGAGGAGTCCGGTCACCTCGAGGCGGACATCGGCGAGCACACGACCCAGTACCACCAGCGCGAAATCGCCGACAACGTTGACATCACCAGTGCCACCAAGCACTTCAGACTGAACCTTGACTTCGGCGCCTACAGGCACAAATACACGCGAAACGGCAGACATCTGCTGCTCGGGGGCAGAATGGGCCACGTGGCAGCCTTCGACTGGGTGACGAAGAGGTTGTCCTGCGAGATGAATGTCATGGAGTCGGTGCACGACGTCTCCTGGCTGCACCTGGAGACGATGTTCGCGGTGGCCCAGAAGAACTGGGTTCACATTTACGATAATCAGGGGATCGAGATCCATTGTCTGAAGAGGATGAATGGAGTCACGAGACTGGAGTTTCTGCCCTACCACTTTTTGCTGGCGTCTGGGTCTTACGAGGGGTGCTTGACCTGGCTGGATGTCTCCATTGGACAGATCATCTCCAGGTAGGGAATTTATCGGCGTTATTGATAGGAATTGGGGGAGGGCGAGCTCTTGACGTGATTCAGGGGATTTTTTTGGTTCGGGTTGAGGGTCAAATGACCCTTGGGGAGGTTTGGAGTCGAGGGTCAAATGGTACTGAGGGTCAAACTAATGTTAAGAACGTTTTTATGTCGAGGGTCAAATGGTTTTCAAGGTCAAACGACCCTTGGGGGTCTTTGGAGTTGAGGGTCAAATGGTTTTCAAGGTCAAACGACGATTGGGGGTGTTTGGAGTTCAGGGTCAAATGACCCTCGAGGATGTTGGGAGGTGAATGCCTCATAGTCTTGAGGGTTAAATAATTCCCAAGGGTGTTTGGAGTCGAGGGTCAAATGGTACTGAGGGTCAAACTAATGTTAAGGACGTTTTTATGTCGAGGGTCAAATGGTTTTCAAGGTCAAACGACCCTTGGGGGTCTTTGGAGTTGAGGGTCAAATGGTTTTCAAGGTCAAACGACGCTTGGGGGTGTTTGGAGTTCAGGGTCAAATGACCCTCGAGGATGTTGGGAGGTGAATGCCTCATAGTCTTGAGGGTTAAATAATTCCCAAGGGTGTTTGGAGTCGAGGGTCAAATGGTACTGAGGGTCAAACTAATGTTAAGGACGTTTTTATGTCGAGGGTCAAATGGTTTTCAAGGTCAAACGACCCTTGGGGGTCTTTGGAGTTGAGGGTCAAATGGTTTTCAAGGTCAAACGACGATTGGGGGTGTTTGGAGTTCAGGGTGAAATGACCCTCGAGGATGTTTGGAGGTGAATGCCTCAGTCTTGAGGGTTAAACAATTCCCAAGGGCGTTTGGAGTCGAGGATCAAATGGTATTGAGGGTCATACTAATCTTAAGGACGTTTTTATATCGAGGGTCAAATGACCCTCAAGGATGTTTGGAGTTGCCTGCCATATAATCTTGAGGGTTAAATAATTCTCAAGGACCTTTGCAGTAGAGGGTCAAATGGTTTTGAAGGTCAAACCTTAATGATGTTTGGAGTTGTGGGTCAAATGGTCTCGAGGGTCAAACGACCTTTGAATACATTTGGAGGTCATGGTCCCACGAACCTTAAGGACGTTTTGGGTTGAAGGTCAAACGGTTTCGCGGGTCAAACCACCCCCCCCTAAAAATTAGGCAGAAACAGATTAATTTTCACTGAAAAATAAATCCGCTTGCAAATGGTCTCAGGTACGATTCCAAATTGGGAAGAATAGGGGTGATGACTCAGAATCCCAGTAACGCTGTTCTCTGCGTGGGTAACTCCAAGGGGGTTGTCTCCATGTGGGCCCCCAAGTCCAAGGATCCCCTTGCCAAGATGTTGTGTCATCGGCAGGGGATCAGCTCCATCGCTGTTCATCCCCACGGGACTTACATGGCGACAAGCTGTCCCGACAGAACTGTCAAGACCTGGGACGTGAGACAACTATCAGGGCCCGTTCACGATTTTGTCCTGAGGTCGGCCGTTGATAATTTGGTTTACAGTCAGAAGGGACTCCTAGCTGCGTCTTCCGGGAATTGTATTGAGGTTTTCAGGTGATTTAACTCATCAAGATAATGTTTTTTCAAAGAAAGAAGAAGAGAATCGTCAATTCAATTTGAGAAGACTTTAGTTTTTGGTGTATATCTCGGAATCGAAGGAAGATGGCAAAGTTCATGTGAGGACCTTTTTCGTAGAGAATTTCGTAAGCTGTAAAAAAGTCTTTATCACATTTTGTCGTAAACCCACTTCTCGTCGAGATAATTCCAAAAAGCTAAAGTTGGATTTGAAACAAATTGTGGTCGAGAAAAATTGGCTGTTCCTTTTTGTTCAATTGATTAAGTAATTAATTAATTAATTGAACATGTGTTCCCGTGGCTCCACAGAGATGCCGGAGACACAATGAAGCCCTACATTCGTCACAAGGAGACCTGGGGCGTCTCCTCCCTCCAATTCTGTCCCTTCGAGGACGTTTTAGGTGTCAGCACAGCCAAAGGCTTCGTCTCAGTCCTAGTTCCTGGCAGTGGAGAGCCCAACTTCGATGCTCTCGAGGTGAATCCCTTCCAGACCAAGAGCCAGAGGCGCGAGGCCGAAGTGAAAGCACTTCTCGATAAAATCCAACCCGAATTGATTACCTTAGATCCCGGAGCTGTGGCCGAAGTCGATGTCCCAACGCTGAAGGAGAAGGTCGAGGCGAAGAAGAAGCTCTTGGTAAATCCCAAACCGTCACAACAATTTTCAGGAAATTTCAGGAATTTTCATCGCTAATAATCCCCATTTTTATTCGCAGTTCATCAAACCTCAAGCCATAGACTTCAAACCCAGGAGAACTAAGGCCAAGGGTAAAGGTGGCACTGCCAAAGTCGTCAAGACGAAGAAGATTTTGAAGGAATTGAAACGAAAAGTGAGTGAAATAATTCGGGAATTGAATGACTGGTTTGGAGTTCATTTCAGTGGCGTCATGCATCAATTTTTTTCATTTTGCAAAATTACAGGAAGCTGCTGAGGCCATTCGACAAGTGTCCGAGGAGAAGGCGAAGAAGAAAAAACGAGAAAATACTAGGGACTTCGGTGCTTTGAACCGATTTCTCCCTAAATCGAAGTAACTTTAAGAAATAATTACTGTAAAAATAATGTATGTATGATAAAAGTGAATATACAGACAAGTTATCTTTTGTGAGTTGTCCTTGGATAATTCCGCCCCTATTTTTTACTACAATCTTGGCCTTATTTTTTGTTATATTTAATTTTTTATTATAGCCTGGTGTTATCGCTCGGCCGCTTACTCTAAATATTAATTTTCGATCGTCAAATTCAGTTCCCTCTATGCTGTCATGAGAGAGCTTCTAGTTTTGTTGGGAATTAAATAATGAATCAGAATGAAGAAAATAACAGCAAAATTACCGATCAGAAATTAAAAAAAAAAAGAGAATTAAGCAGAATCTTGAAACTAAAACTAGAAGACCAAAACGACTTTGATAATGAAAAAAGTTTTTTGATTAAAAAACGGCTGATTATAAAAAGAAAAGTTAATTAAATGTCCATTGAAATGTTGACGTAATGATTGAAATTATTGAATAAAACGTTAAATTCAATAAGAGGAAAATTAAATCCTTAGTATTTTCATTTCATGGCTCCAGTTCTCAGGAATCTCGTCTCGTATGAGTGCGTGGAGGTATCGAAATACAGTCGCAATTTCCGAATTCCCTTCCCCTATTCCCCCAGATACAATACAATATTTAATCAGGATAAAGCCGAAAGTTATCGTTATTCAGAGTTGCCAGGAAATGACGACTAATTCGTCGAGGAAAAAATGAAATTGTGGGTTTCAATCGAGGAAGTTCCAGATAACGTGAAAGAGGTTGTCGTCAATTTCCACAAGAAGAAGAGGAAAAAACTGGAAGCCGTATAATCTAACGTTTTAGTGTTCCGCTGAGCGCTATCGGGGGAGAATTAATTTTTCGAGAGATGGTGGAGTTCGATCGTGAGTGATTTTGAATTTTGGTCTCCAGGGGCGGTTCACTTTTTTCGAGGGGTTTATCGAGGAATTTTCTTGCAGATAAACCGCTCGAGCATGACGCGGGGTTCGACGGGCCCCTGAGGAGACGCTCGTGCACGGACGTCCCTTGTCTTGTGATATTTCTAGTGTTCGTTGTGTGCTGGATCGGTCTTGGAATCTATGGTCTGTAAAATAATCTCATTTTTATGAGGAATTATTTACGACTTGAGATGGAATTTTCTCAATATTTCTTCCGTAACCGTGAGGCTTAAGAAATCGCACTCATTCCGCTAAAAAATTCAATTCGGATTGATAATTTCAGCTTTGTCCTCCGGAAATGTAAAAACTCTGCTGGCCCCAACGGACAGCGAAGGTCGAAGATGCGGATTGGATTCAGAAGTATCGAATAAGCCGTACCTCTTCTTCTTCGATCTAACGAAATGCGATATCGATAGAAAGCGATGTGACACGCCCCAAGTGTGTCTGGAGAAATGTCCGGACAGGAACTGGCGCTTCAACCGGTCCGACGCCCTGGACTATACCAGGGAGAGGATCATTTGCAGGCCGGGGGTGGACGTTACCAATAAAAATACCAATGAGATTGAGAATTTGATTAATGTCACAGCCTGCGCCCCCATGTATTTCAAGGGGAAATCCATCGTGCACAGGTGTTTTCCCCTGGACCTTGGCACCGACTTCATCGATGACGTTCTCCTGGTGAAGCTGAAGAAGTCCGAGGCCATTATCAAGTCCCTGGCATATGTTCAGGGGGTTTTCGATAAAGTGAAATCGTCTTAGTGAGTTTTTTTTGTCATAGAGGGGAGGGTTGATGATTTTTCTAAGAGGTACATGTATTAATCACACTCATCTCCAAAATAAGGGTCACGAGGGTATAAATAAGGGCCACAAGGGTTAGATTAAGGGTCACAAGTTTAAGGGCTCAAATAAGGGCCCCAAGGGTTATAGGGTCAGATTAAGGGTCAGAAGTGTCACAAGATTAAGGGTCTAAATAAGGGTCACAAGGGTCAGATTAAGGGTCTAAATATCGGTCACAAGGATCACATTAAGGTTCACAAGGGTCAGAGTAAGGGCTCAAATAAGGGTGAGATCGAGGATCCCAAAAAGGGTCAGAATGTCAGATTAAGAATCTCCAAGGTCAAAATAAGGGTCTCTATATTATAAAAATCCAAATCGACTTCTGGTAATGAAAATTAGGTACTTGAAATTAAGACCCCAAAATTAAGGATCACAAAGGTTAGAAAAGGGAGGTCACGGGGGGTTCGTGAGCGGAGCGAGCAGGGGGTGTTGTCTCAGAAGGCAAGCGCGTTACCGAATGAGCCAAGGCGACGAGCAAAAAATTTTCCCATCAAATTTTGACAATCATCTTCCCTCCAGTGGAGCAGTCCTCGGGATTATCTGCGGTGGAGCCGTGATGTGCATCGTCTACATGCTCTTGTTAAGATGGATCGCGCTGCCTGTCGTCTGCGTTACGATATTCGCAGTTTGCGCACTGCTGGTCCTCCTAGCCTGTCTGAGTTATCAAGCATACGCTCAAACTTCATCAGCCCTCTGGTTGCTAGCTATGATTCTCATTATCTGCATTGTCGGTATTATTGTCCTGGTGACACTATGCAGTTGGCAGAGAATTTATCTAGCTTGCCAGCTGATCAAGGAAGCCAGCAAGTAAATAGCCCCAGTTATTTTTCTCCAATTCGAAATTCAAGAGTGAAACTCATCGATCATGTTCTCCCTTTTCAGGGCTATAATGTCTGTCCTCAGCAGCATCTTCTTCCCAATCCTCCCCTGGCTCTTCCACATTGCCCTCCTCGTCTACTTCTTCCACATAATTTTCCTGTTGATGTCTATTAAAAAAACGACATTCGCCGTTGAACAATCCCCCAACGGCTTTCCTGACAGCTGCCAGTGCTCTGGAAACGTCAACTACACCCTCGGGGGTGCCTGCGACCCGAAAACATTCGACTCCCAGTGCAAAGAGAACGGGGAGATTTGTATCTCCCGGGTATGCCGTCTCCAGAGTGTCACCACCCCTGCCGGCATAATTTGGGCATATTTCATACATATTATCGGGGGTCTCTGGCTCGGTCTCTTCATATCAGCGGTCGGGGACATGACGCTTGCAGCCACTTTCGCAACTTGGTATTGGACACTTAATAAAAGTGATGTCACGTTTTTCACGGTTACTTTGGGCTTTTGGAGAACGGTGAGGTAAGAAAACAAAACGAAAAAATTTCTGTTGAAATTTTTTGTCATGAATATCTGACACCTATTCACTTTTTTTATGAATGACATCTGTTCACTCCATCGGTCGAAGGAAGACTGAATGGAGTGCACTGGGACACGCCTTATATAGGGCTCCCCCCACCATGATACCCCCTCCCTCTCTACGGCTGCGCGCGCATATCGAAACATTCTAAAGGGTGAGAGGGGGGAAATGGGGGCGCTGTTCGCTTCACAGAATGAAGATAGATAAGATCTCAATTGATAAGAGCATTAGTCTCGTAATCTGAAGATTGTGAGTTAAAATCCTGTTCCTAGATTATGTCGTGATCCCATCACTTTTGATGGAAATTGATTAAATTGATTGAAGAGAATGCCAGACACCCAAGGAAAATAAACTTTCCTCAATCGTCAATGCTCACAGTCAGACGGTTGCATTATCCATTTCAGGTACCACCTGGGGACAGTGGCCTTCGGCTCCTTCCTCATAACAATCTGTCGTTTCTTCCGCCTCGTCATGGAGTACCTCGAATCCATGTCGGAGAGCCAGTCGACAGGTGGCTGTGCCGCATGCATTCGCTGCTTCATTCCCTGTCTCCTGGCTCTTCTCGAGCGATTCGTCAAGTTCATGACCGGAAATGCCTACATCATCTGCGCGATCTACGGAAAGGGGCTCTGCGACTCCGCCGGGGAAGCCCTCAGCCTCATCATGAGGAACATTCTCCGGACCTCGATTCTGAATAAAATAGTCAGTTGGGTGCTCCTCGGCGGGAAAGTCCTGGTCACATGCATGATGGTGGCGATCGCCTGGTGCCACTACAGGAATCAGGACGATCAGTTCTGGTGGGCGCCGACACTTCTGGTGGGGTTGGGCACTTTCCTAGTCGCCTCGGTCTTCTTCAGTGTCCATTCTATGGCTGTCGACACCATCTTCTTGTGCTTCCTTGAGGACTCGGAGAAGAACGATGGGTCGGAGGAGAAACCCTATTTTATGACTCGGCCATTGGCTAAATTACTTAATAAAAAATGAAGGGCAAATCAAACTGCCTTGACTCAATATTCTCGACGAATTGTCCTTGAAGAACGAAAAATCTTTGAAATCCCTCTGAAGTTAGCTCTCTCCTTCATTATTACTCATTCCTTTGTCCCATTTTGACAAGTCCACATGTGTTAATTTATGTTTTCCCGTGTCAATTAAATGTGAATATGAATCATTAATATGTTTTTTACTGAATAAAAATTATTTCTAAAAATTGCTGCATTGGAAATGTTTTTTCTAGTGATAAAACTGAGTACACAAATCTTCTTTTTACTTTCAATTAATCTACCTTGATTGCTAACGTAATTAATAAGAAATAGTGACTAACTTGTTCGCTAATCATAAAATAGATGAGTGGATTTATTTTTTAGTGATAAGATAAAATCGTTGATCAGGCATTGGTTTGTGGGGACGCAGATAACAAAAAAGAGTCTGTTGCCATTTGCGCGATGAGGGCCGAGCGAGAGCCCCGCGTTGTTAGTTGATACATTGGGTGATTCATTAGTTTTTGTGTTGATGAAATTTGAAAATGGTGGAGTATGACGGTGAGTGTTTTCTGGGTTTCGAGGGATTAAATAGTTTAATCTCTGTGGATTTTATCGTGCGATTGAATTGTAGATAGGCCGATCCAGCATGACCCGGAGTTTAAGGGCCCTCTGAAGAATCGCTCGTGCACCGATATCCCTTGTCTTTTGATTTTTGTGGCGTTCATTGTGTGCTGGATTGCTATTGGACTCTTTGGTTCGTAGGAGAGAGAACATTAATGTACTTCATATTTGCCTGATTTCGTCTTGAGATTTGCGGGGGATTATTGGGGAGATGAGTGATTTCAGGGAAAAATGTCAGAAGATATTTTACGTGGGAAATTTTCTCAGCTACGGAAAATGTTTTATGACTTTTTCTTCTAAAATCAATTGTTCTCGAGATAATTGCGAAAATGATGAGGTTTCACTCGATTTGTTCGATTCTCTCGATTTTTCTGGTTTCAATTATGGATTTATCTTGATAGCGGGTAGGTTTAGAGGAAAATCTCTCGGGGATGATTTGTAGGAAATATCCTCAGCTACAAAAAAGTTCTATGACGTTTTCTTCTAAACCCACTCATTACCGAGATATCCAAATTTTCCCGAAACATGAAAAATCGATTTCATCAAATTTCATCCATTTAATCGATCAATAATTATTGATCAATCATTAAGGAAATAAAGCCATGAGAATAATTTGTCGAGAATCTTCCCCCCCCCCTGTAAAACAAGTTTAATAACAAGTTCTAGTCAAGCCACTCATCACCTAGCTAATCACTGTCCTCAACATTAAAAATCGATTTAGCTTTATCATCCGGAGATATCGAGACCCTCTTGGCTCCAAAAGACAGTGAAGGTCGAAAATGTGGAGTGGACTCGGAGATGTCGAACAAATCGTACCTCCTCTTCTTCGACCTAACGAAATGCGATATCACTCACAAGAAGTGTTATACGCCTCAAGTTTGCCTGGAGAAATGTCCAACCGAGAACTGGGTGTTCAAAGACACCGATCCTCTGGAGGACATCAGGCAGAAGATCATCTGCAAGCCGGGAGTGGATGTCACGAATAAGGATCGCACCCACATCCAGGCGCTGATCTACGTCTCCGCGTGCGCTCCCATGTACTTGAAGAGCAAATCCGTCGTGAACAGATGTGTTCCGACGGACTTTTCCGCGGATTTCATCTCTGATGCCATTTTAGGAAAGTTGAAACAGGCAGAGGAGATCATCGGATACCTGACGTATGCTCAAGGGGTTTTTGATAAAGTCGTTTCATCCTAGTAGGTTTTCTTTTTTTTATTCATAACATTTTTTCCCGTTGATCTTTATTAACCCTCCAGTGGTCGCGCCATGGCCTCAACGCCGGCGTTTTTGTTATTTTCACGATATCTCTAGAAATGTGATGAATAACGCTCTGCCTATTTACGAGTTCCTTAAATGATATGTCCCGATGAGATTAAACACGGTAGGGTTGCCCTGTACCGACAATTTTTTTCTCAATTAATTTTTTTGTCGAGCGCGGTGAGCGAGAATGACCGCAGCGCTCACCGCGCGACCACTCTCGTAGCGGAAATTGGCGAGCGGTGTTGCCGACCCTCGTGGTAGTCCCAAGCATCGTGTGCGGAGTGGGGGGTCGCTGGCCGGTGATATGTTTATAGTGTCGTATGGCTCTGGCAACGCTGCGCTCGAGAATGTACGCACGGCGCAGCGCTTCACGCGACTAACGACGTTCAGCGAAGACGTGCGACTACAGGAGGGTTAAGGATAACTCCCTGGGTTTTGTGAGATAGGAGATAAATCTCCCTACAGTAGGACCAGCATTTCGATCTCGTCCGAAATCGTTATAAAAATTCATGATCTTTTTTACAGCAAATCGGCTCTCGGAATTGTTTGCGGTGGGGCCCTCATGTGCATTATCTACATGTTTCTGCTCAAGTGGCTAGCGTTGCCTTGCGTTCTCATCGCGATATTCGGAGTGTGCGGATTGTTCGGTTATCTTGGCTATCTGAGTTATCAGTCCTACTCGGAAACTGACTCATCAGCCTGGCTGATTGTAACTATTATTCTGGGCTCGGTCGCGGGGATTATCGCATTGCTGACGGTATGCCTGTGGCAGAGGATTTATCTGGCTTGTCAGCTGATCAAAGAGGCCAGCAAGTGGGTTCTCAATGATTTTCTACTCATTCTTCGATCGTTTTCGAGATTATGACGAAATTAGGGGAAGAATCAATCGTTTCTATTTAATTCCAGAGCCGTGATGTCCGCCCTCTCAAGTCTCTTCTTTCCGATCCTCCCCTGGCTGACCCACATCGCCATCATCGTCTACTTCTTCTACATCGGATTCCTCCTGATATCTATCGGAGACCAGGAATTCGTCATCGAGCAGTCGCCGAACGTCGTCACAGACAACTGCGTCTGTCCTTCGTGGCTCAACTACAACATCAACAGCTCCTGTGACCCTGCCCTCTTCAACTCTGAGTGCAGAGAGAATGCGGAAATGTGCGTGTCACGAGCGTGCCATCTCCGGGGAGTGGACAACCCCCCCTACATGAAGTGGATGTACCTTATCCACATCTTCGGGGGCCTCTGGCTCTACTTCTTCATCTCCGCTCTGGGGGAGATGACACTCGCAGCGACATTCGCCACATGGTACTGGACCATGAACAAGAGCGATGTTCCATTCTTCACGGTTACTGTGAGCCTCTGGAGAACGATTAGGTAAGATCGATGGGTGGAATTTTTCGGAAAAATTCCGTCAGAAAAAATAAATTGGAAATATCGCTCGGGGACAATTATGTCGAAACGGAAGGAAAAATCGATTATACGTCAATACAGGTGGTGAAACAATTGGGGGTATAGTCTCTCTCAAAAACATGTTTTGCTTTACTTATGCGAACTTTATCACACGCTCGAAACTTCGGTCAGTTACTGTACACCCGAGAGTCGGCGTAAATGAAACGCTGTATTGGCAGTTTTTGTTGTCACGTCGACAGGCCTCATACGAATAGTTGGATGTTTTCTATGATTATATTTGGGCACGAGCTCTGGTAACATGTCAATCCACTTGTAATTTCCCCGCAAACTGAACTGCAGTTACATTTTACTCTTCAATGAGGTGGCCGGAGTTTTTCCCCATTGGAAAATTCTCGGAAAATTTTTCTCCGTCAATTTTTCCTCGGGGAGACTTTTCTTGGGAATAATCTTTCAGAGGAAAAATTTTCTAGGAATTTTTTCCGGGGATTTTTCACGCTCAGAATTTTGGCCACTTGTTTTTCACCCAAAAGTCGGCGTAAATGCACCTCGACAGGCCTCATACGAATAGTTCGATGTTTTCTATGATTATATTTGAGCACGAGCTCTGGTAACATGTCAATCCACTTGTAATTTCCCCGCAAACTGAACTGCAGTCACATTTTACTCTTCAATGAGATGGCCGGAGTTTTTCCCCATTGGAAAATTCCCGGAAAATTTTTCTTCGACAATTTTTCCTCGGGGAGACTTTTCTTGGGAAAAATCTTTCAGAGGAAAAATTTTCTAGGAATTTTTTCCGGGGATTTTTCACGCTCAAAATTTCGGCCACTTGTTTTTCACCCAAAAGTCGGCATAAATGCACCTCGACAGGCCTCATACGAATAGTTGGATGTTTTCTATGATTACATTTGAGCACGAGCTCTGGCAACATGTCAATCCACTTGTAATTTCCCCGCAACCTGAACTGCAGTCACATTTTACTCTTCAATGTTCGATTGAATCGCTCAACTCAACTTGGAATGGAGCGACAATTTTTCCTGGGATGACTCCGTAAATCATATATGCCCGAGAAATTACCTCCGCAGGTGTTTTCTCGAGAGTAATTTTTCCGAAAAAATTTTTTCTTAAGGGTTTTATGGACATCCTCCCAAGCTAATTGTCTCCAACCTTCCATTCTCAAAACTCCAGGTATCACCTAGGGACAGTAGCCTTCGGCTCCCTCCTGATAACGATCTGTCGCTTCTTCCGGATCGTCCTAGAGTACATCCACCGTCAGTCCACAGCGCAAGGAGGTGGGCAGCTCCTGGGTACCTGCGGGACGGCCATCTACCGCTGCACCCAGTGCATCATGGTCCTCCTGGAGAAGTTCCTCAAGTTCATGAACAGAAACGCCTACATCGTGTGCGCCGTATACGGAAAGGGTCTCTGCGCCTCCGCCGGGGACGCCCTCAGCCTCCTCATGAGGAACATCCTCCGGGTGGTGATTCTAAACAAAATAGTCGACTGGCTGCTCTTCGCGGGGAAGATCCTGGTCACCTGCACGATGATAGCCATATCCTGGTGGTACTACAAGGAGGAAGAGGGCGATAATGAGTTCTGGTGGGTGCCCACCATTCTCGTTGGACTGGGATCGTATCTAGTCGCTTCTGTATTCTTCAGTGTTCATGCCACCGCTGTGGACACCATCTTCTTGTGCTTCCTGGAGGACTGCGAGAGACATGATGGATCGGCCGAGAAACCTTATTACATGAGTCGGAAAATTGCGAAATTGTTGAATTTGCAATAAACAATCATCTTCAGAGGGAGTTGTTTTAGAGGGAAATGTAAAACAAATTCTCTAGATAATGAAGAGGCCTTGAAATGCGGGGAAAATCTCGCGTCATGAATTCTCAGTCACAGGGGGATGAAAAAATCTGGGGGATAATTTAAAAAATTTGTTCCCTTTCAAGGCACTAGATCGGACGTGTTGACGGTGATCTGAGGAGGATAAATAATTTTTTAAAATGTTTAAAAGTGCGAGGTGGTGACAGACGTGAGCGCCGCCATCTTGTTGTGATTTACCTCCCCCTTCCTCTGCCGGAAGGGGCGTTAAAAATGGCGGCGTTCTCGCTTTGGGTTTTTAAACATTTTTCATTCTCTTCAGAACACTCAACTCACTCCATCAGATTTCTATAAAATAATTTTTTAAAGCAATCTTTTAGATACTTCAAGCCATTTTTACCAGAGAATTCATGGCATAAAGTTTTTCCTGCATTTCAGTATTTTTTTTCACTCTAGATGCCTCTTAAATTGAATTTCAAAAAATTTGGTGATAATTTAATATCACTCATTATCAAGATGATTAAAAAATCGTTGGGTCAAAATTTTTTATTTCGAATTTCCAATGTTTTCTTTTGAGATAATTCAATTTTTATGATTTTTTTACATTTTGCATTAAAAAGAATGTAAATAAAAACAGACGGTTGACATAGTTTGTCGAGTAACGTTTATTTATATCATCTCTACAGTCAAAGTTCTATTCCAATTACCAATACTCCAATAGAGGTCGAACATGCATTTTCGAAGGACACCGCAAGCAGAACCGATAACGAAGTAGTAATATAAGAATTTACGAAATTTTCTGATCTGTTGTAAAATATAACAGGAAGCTTGCAGTGGTCTGAATACAATAGAATATAATAGTCGTGCAATATGCGCATGAATGAATAATAATTTAAGCTTGAGTATATAATATTCAAAAAAGAAGCCCAATTAATTTTGGAAAAGTGTCCGAGTGAAATCGATGTAGTCCAGGGCTCCTGGGATTGGTCGTTCGGTCCTGGGATCGACGAAGGGATTCATACGTGCTACGCAGTAATCGGCCATCTCCCTCGTAAGGTTCTGAACACAAGAAAACAAAAGGTTAATTACTTTTCACAAAAAAAAAAAATTAGTGATGACTCTCATGGCCTCAATACATTCTCCATGACCTCCATAAACCTTTAAATGACCAAAACTGATCTCCACAAAACCTCAATCATTTTCATGAAGCCCTTATGAGCCCTTAAAATCTCCGTACAATTTTATATGAACCTAAATGATCTTAGTAAAACCTTCGTGACCTTCATAAACCCTCGAGTCACCATAAGTGACCTCCATAAAACCTCTATGAAACCTCACATGAATCTGCATGACCTTAACAAAACCTCCCTGACCTCCACAAACCCCCACGACCTCCCCAGACCCTCACAATCCCCAAAAAAAAAAAATACTCACAGCATAAAGTTCCTCCCTAGTGACATAAGGCCTGTCGGCAGCAGTGATGGCCCTGAAGGCGTTCTCAATCTCCTCCGAGCTCTGGACATTCTCCGTCTCCTTACTGATCATAAACGCCATGTACTCCTGCAAGGAGACATACCCATCCCTATTGGGGTCCACGATGTCCAGTATATTCTCGAATTCTGGATCTGGCTGGCCCTCCTCGACCATCGGCAGGTCGTACCCCAGGGCCCTCAGGCAGGACTTGAACTCCTGGTGATTGAGTCTTCCACTCTTGTCCTTGTCGAAGTGCTTGAACATCATGGAGAACTCCTTGAGGGCGTCCTCGGACACTCCAGACTGGTTTCTCGCCTGGATCTGCTGCTCCAAGTTGTGCTGCATCCTCATGCCCAGTTGGTCCAGCTGGTCCCACTGCTGGGCCAGGCCCACAGTGCTGTGCTCAGTGTAACGATTGTCCAGGATCAGGTGCTCCTCGAGGATGGCCCCCAGGTCCTCGATCTTCTTGAGGTCCTGTCTGCGGGCGCGAACCTCGTGAGTCTTCTTCTTGGTCGCCTCCAGCTGCTGCTCGAGGGAGCCAGAGCCCTCCATCATCGAGGTCCTGGTCTCTGCCAGCCACTGGTGGAAGGCATTGGCGTGTTTAGCGAACTCCTTCCTCAGTTTGTCGTTCTCCTCCTGCCTCTGGGCCTCCTTCGCCAGCTCCACGTCCCTCTCCTTGATGATCTTCTGGAGGTTTCTCCAGGTGTCCTCCAAGGCCTCCATCGTGAACCAGGTGTAGGGATTCGGACCCACGTTGAAGCTCTTGATCTGGCGGTCGAGAGCAGCCAGAGCTTGGAAGTCCGCCTCGGCGGAGGACAGACTCGCCTGGAAGGAGGCGTGGGCCTCCCTCAGGGCGCGAATCTCCTCGATGCTGTTGCAACGCACTGGATCTGTCAGATCCTCCTCGGCGTTCTCGAACCACGAGTTGAAGGCTGATGCTTTCTTCGCGAATGTCAGGTATAGCTAGGGGGTAACACGAAAAAAAATGCTTAATAATCATTGATTGGCGGAATAAATTGGCAATATGCTTCTGTCATCTATAATTAACTGTTCATTTCATTTTATTAAATTTAGTAATTTTATTTGAATGCTCCCTATTACTCTAACGATTGAAGATCGAATGAATAAAACCAGAAAAAATACCTCTTCAATCTGCCTGAACTGATCCTGCATGCGAAGAAGTCTCTGTTTCCTAGCATCAGAGTCAGCCAGTAGTTTCTGCCAGCGAGTGATGACATCAGCATGTCTCTTCTGAATATTAGCAGTCTGCTCGTGGCCGGCATCCACCAGTCTCTCCTTCAGAGTCGTGATGTTCTGAATGCCCTCGTGTTCGAAGGCATGTAGTCCAGCATCGAAGGTCTCCTGTTTGGTCAGTAGTGTCTGGACAGTGGAGAGATCCCTGCCAAACTCCTCAGACCTGACATGGGTCTCCTTGTCAGCGATCCAGGACTCGACGACATCAGCCTTCCACATGAACTGGAGATAAGCTGAATTGTCATTGAGTCGAGTCTTCCTCCTGGTGGCCAAAGCCCCCAGCTGTTCCAACTTGTTTCGCAGTTGATTGCACCTCTGGCCAATGGCATCAGCCCGATGATTTCCAGCCTTGATGAGGGACTCACCGGCCTCGCAGATGTCCTTGCATCGCTCCCCATGAGCAGCGAAATCCGTCTCAAAGGCTTCATGCTTCTTCAGCAGACCCTGAACAGCAGCCATTGTGTCACCGTAGTCCTCCACTGAGAGCAGCTGCTGCTTCTCGGTGATCCAGGCCTCCTCCTCCTCGACTTTAGCCAAGAATTGTTGATAAGTCAACGATTCGTCGAGCTTCTGGCCCCTGGTGGCTGCCAGCTGCTTCAACTCTGCCCAAGCCTGGTTTAGAAGCTTCAACCTCTGCTCAATCTCAGGCACCCCCAGGTTGGAGACATCCATGAGCTTCTCACCAGCCTCTTGAACAGCCTGAATGGCAGGCTCGTGACTCCCCAGCTCGGCCTCGAGCCTCTTATGCTTCTTCTTGAGGTTTTGAACGCCTGTGAGGTCCCTTCCGTAGTCGTCAGAGCCTACGAGAAGCTTCTTCTCCTTGATCCAGGACTCCTCATCTGCGATGTCTCTGAAGAACTGGTGGAGGGTGTTCGCTTCGTTGAGCCTTGCCTGGCGATGAGCTGCAAGATTCCTGATCCTCTCGTACCTTTCATTAATGCTCTGCCGTTTCTCCTGAATGCCAGCAGCATCGAACTGTCCGCTCTCGATCAAAGAGTCAGCCTGGGCGTTCATGTCCTTGATACGCTCCTCGTGAGCCTGGATGTCGGCCTCCACCAGCTGATGCTTCTTCATGAGATTCTGAACAGACGCCAAGTCCTTGCCAGCGTCCTCAGATGTCAGAAGACTCTCCACCTCTCCCAGCCAAAAGTCCAAGTCCTTGACAGCTGCGATGTAGGTCCTCTGCTTGTTGGCTTCCTTCAGTTTCAGGGACTTCTCCGTCGTCTTCTGGGTGAGGTACTCCCACTGGTCAGCGATCGATGCCAATCTCTTCTGGACAGCGTCCTCAGAGCCTGCGCACTGGTGCTTCTCGATGAGATTGCCACCCATCGCCAGAACTGATTGGATTCTGTCAGCATTGGCTGCCAGTTCTGCCTCGAATGCCTGATGCTTCTGGTGCTTTGATTGAATGTTCGCTGGGTCTTTGTAGTTCTCCTCAGTCGCCAGCTGGAGCTTCTCAGCAATCCAGTTCTCCATCTCGTCGGCGTCACGAGAGAATTGCTGGAGAGTCTGGGATTCACCCAGCTTCGATCGCTTCTCGATCAGGGCGTCCTTCAGGTGCTTCCAACGGTCCAGGACCTGGCAACGTCTGTCGTCAATTGGTTTAGCTGCGTAATGCTCAGCAGCGATCAGCTGATCAGCCAGGGTCTGCAGGGCTGCGATCTTCTCCTCGTGGGCGTTGATCGCTTTGTCAAAGTCCTCGTGCTTCTTTATCAAGGCTTCAACGTTGTCACTGCTGTCAACTGCGTCTGCACTGCTCAGGAAGGCCTCTCGGGCGCTCATCCAGTTCTCAGCTTGCTCGCAGTCGCGACAGAACAGCTGGAGCTCGAGATTCTGGTCCAGCTGCATTCGCCGCTGGATCCAGGCCTTCTCCAGCTCTTGTCTGGCTTCTGCCATCGACTCGAGCTTCTCCTGGATTTCTACGCTTGCGTAGTGCGAGGACTGCAGCAGCTGCTGGCCGAAGAGCTCGAAGGCTTGGAATGTGCCCGCACGAGCGTCAACTTCGGTTCTGTGCTCCTGGAAATTTAAGGGGAATTGGAGAACTGGAGAACTGGAGGGAAGTAGAAGATGATTTCTAGTGAAGTGGATTGTAGTACTGTTTTTGGAGGATACCTCGGGATCTGGAGGAGATGGGGAAATTTTCGTCAGGACCTTTTTTGAAGATTATGGAATTGCCGACAAAAAAGGACTGAACGAAGATTTTGCTAGCTCTGGTGGTTCGGGAGATATTCAGCAAAAACGAAAGCTGAAAATGCGTCTACTTGTCCTATTCAGTTTTTTCGGTTAAAAATAAACTGCGGATTATTGCTTTGAGCTCAGACATTCGTTCATGAAATATAGCTATTTCATGGATGACAGGTGTTAGCCAGTCCAGTAAAAACTCAAAACCCAGTCTTAAGGATATTCAAGGGCTTTGGACTATTTTTTCTTCAGTGAAATGCTTTTCTTTGAGCCCCATTTGAACACAAGTTTCCGGACGTTTTACGACAATTTTATCATTTAAACTTTGCAGATCCCAATTTGAATTTGAATATTAAACCGTTAGAAAACATTTTAAAAATCATAAAAATCTTTTAAGTCTCTGCCAAATGTAGTTTTAATGACTCTGAATATTCACGATTTTTCTGATACTTCTTACGTAATTTAATAGCCTAATTTGATGACTGAAAATGGTTCAATCTACAGTGTGACCCTTGGAAATCCTCAAACGTTTTTAAAAAAAATCACCGCACCTCCCCCAATAATTAACACAAAGCAAATTCCATGCACAAACGCTTTGGTACCTCGAGTATTCCATATCTCGCGTCAATTTCCGATCTGTAATTCTACAAGTATACCACCATACAGTGTCTGCAAGTGAGTCCCCCCGCCCCGACCAAACCCCAAGAACTCACCTGATGACGTTCAAGGAGAGCTTCAGCCCCAGTGACATCAGACGCCAGTTCCTCAGAAGCCACCAGGCCCATCATGGAGTTGATCCAAGCCATGAGATCCCTGTAATCACTCAGGAACCTCTGCAGATCGTAGGAATCCAGGAGCTTCTCCTTCCTGGAGTTGGCCTTGGCAGTGAGTTGCGTCCACTCTTCGTTGATCTCCTTCTGCTTGGCGTACGTCTGCTCGGCAGTATCAGGATGGGACTGCATCAGCCTGTTGGCTGTCTCGTCCAGCTGCTTGATCTTGTCGCCGAGAGCAGCCAGATCCCTCTCCAGCCCCTCGTGCTTCCTCTGAAGTGCCTGTACACTCCTGAGATCCTTCCCAAGGTCATCATTATTGAGCGCTGCATCCTTCTCCCTGATCCAGTCCTTGGTCTCATCGACATCCCTGTGGAACCGTTGGACTTCATGCGCAGAGCCCAACTGGCTAGCCCTCTCAGCAGTCAAAGTCTGCAGACTAGTCCACTTCTCATTCAAATCCTGAATCTGCGTCTGGATCTTGAGAGCAGCCTCAGTCTGCCCGAGACTCATCAACTGCACAGCGATCTCATTCATCTCAGCAAGTCTCACTTCGTTGGCCTTGAGGTCCGCCTGGAAGTCGTCGAACTTCTTCTGCATGACCTCCACCTGCTCCAGATCCTCGCCAACGTCCTGCACCTGCGCATGGTTCTCCTTGTCCTTGATCCAGGTGGCGAGCTCAGCAGCCTCCCTCACGAGGACGTAAGCCTTGGCTGTTTCGTTGAGCTTGTTCTGACGCTCGTGCGCCAACTGAAGAAGATCATCGTACTGTCCCTGAATCTGCGCCTGCCTGGCTGCAATAGAGCTCTGCTCACGTGCGAGATTCTGCTGGGAGGCGGATAAACCCACCTCAGGTTCAACACGTTTCACGTAGGCAGCGGGCACAAAGCCCTGGCGATCGTTCACCTCGACCTTCCACCAGTCCTTGTTGTTGGAGTTGAGCAGTGTCAGGGTGTCCCCCTTCTTCATGGACACCTCCCTCGGGGATTTCTCAGCATAATCGTAGAGTGCCACGACACACTCCTTGCCAGCAATGTCGACAGTGGGTGTCTCCTGCTGTCTGCAAGCAGCAGCCTGATCCCTCAGCGCCCCAATGGTGCTGGCAAAGGCCTCGAGATCGCTGACAAGTGCCTCGTGCTTCTTCAACAAAGCCTCCGAGCTGTCCTCGTCCTTCCCATAATCATTATTCATGACGATCGGACGTTTCTCCTTCATCCAGGACTCAGCCTCATTGGCATCAGCGAAGTACTGATGCGCCTGGAGAGAGTCGTCAAGGTCAATCTTCCTCTGGCGCGCCTTCTCCTTGAGCTGCAGCCAGTGCTCGTCGAGAGCACTCAAACGCTGGCTGATCTCGTCAGCTGCAAAGTGTCCGTCGGACAGCATCTTGGAGCCAGCCTCGCAGACAGCAGCCACCCTGGGCTCGTGGTTGTTGATCTCAGCGAGAACAGCCTGGTGCTTCTTCTGGAGGTTCTGCACACCGATGAGATCCCTCCCCCTGTTGGTGGAGGCTGCCACTGGCTCCTTCTCCCTGATCCAGGCCTCCTCGTCCTCGATGTCCCTGAAGAGCTGCTGCACCTGCAGCGAGTCCAGCAGCCTCTGCTTCCTGATGCTCATGGGGCGCTGGAGGGCAGCGTAACGACCGCCCAGCTGCTCCTGCTTGGACCTGATGTTGTCGGCATCGAAGTGCCCTGAACTGACGAACTGCTCAGCTGCCTGGGCAATGCTGTCGATTCTGTCAGCATGTGAGCCAACGTCGGCCTCCAGCAGTGCGTGCTTCTTCTGGAGATTCTGGACACTCGTGAGGTCCTTGCCGTAGTCCTCGCTCATGAGCTGGCCCTCGACCTCGGACAGCCAGAGCTCGATGTCCTCGACTGTTCTGTTGAACTGCTGCTGCTGCGACGCCTCCTGCAGCTTCGTTCCCTTCTTCTCCGTGGCTCTGGCCAGGCTCTCCCAGAGGGACACAATCTCGTCGATCCGGGATTTTATCCTCTCACTCGCGTAGTGATCGCTGTCGATCAGCTCCTGCCCGATGGACACCATCTCCTCCATTCTGGTCTTGTTGGCGTTGAGCTCCTGCTCGAAGTTCTGGTGCTTCTGGACTTTGCCGTTTAAATTCGTGGGGTCGAGGTAGCTGTCGTCAGTGGCAAACTTGAGTTTCTCGTTTACCCAGCCCTTGGTCTCGTCGCAGTCCCTCTCGAACTGCTGGAGCTTGTAGGCGTCCTCCAGCTTTCTCCTCCTCTCAGCAGAGTTGACGAGCAGAACTGATCGCCTCTGGAGGAGGGACTGCCTTCGTTGGGCGACATCGTCAGCTGCGTAGTGCTCACCCTCGATCAGCTTGCCAGCGAATTCGTCCAGGGCCTTGATCTTCTCCTCCTGGGCAGCCAGAGACTTGTCAAAGTCCTCGTGCTTCTTTATCAGGGCCTCAACGCTGTCGAGGGAGTCCCCCAGGTCCTCGTTGGCCAGGAAGGCCTCCTGCTTCGCCATCCAGGCGTCGGCCTGCTCAGTGTCCCTGTAGAAGAGCTGAAGGTCCATGCACTGTTCATAGAGAATTCTCCGCTGCTCCCAGAGAAGCAGCAGACTCGACTTGTCCTCGGCCAGGGAGTCGAGCTTCCTGGCCACCTCCTCAGCGGCGTAATGCTTTCTCTCCAGGAGTTTGTTGCCAGCGAGGGTCGCAGCGTCAAAGCTGTCAGCCCTGGCGTCAATCTCCCCCTTGTGCTCCTGATGCCTCTCGAGAAGGGCCTCTGCTCCTGCCACGTCCTTGGCGAGCTCGTCAGCTGATATTATGGCTTTCATGTCGTTCATCCACGAGACCAGGTCCCTGAAGTCAGCCAGGAATCTGTGGAGATAGTACGACTCGTCGAGCTTGAATCTTCTCTCCTTTGCTTTGGCTGTCAGGCTCTCCCACGAGGCCAGGATCTCTGCCCTCTTCGCCTGGATCTGCTGGGAGTGGTCCGCCTGGTGGATGGCAGCCAGACGATCAGCCTCGGCTCCCAGGGTCGCGACTTTGTCCTCCAGGGCTGCCAGGTCACGCTCGATTCCCTCGTGCTTTCGCTGGAGGGTCTGGACACTCGCCAGGTCCCTGCCAAAGTCATCAGAGGACAGCACCACGTCCTTCTCAGCTATCCACGTCATCGTCTCGTCTGCGTCTCGGTTGAATCTCTGGATCTCGTGGGCGCCGAACAGCTTCTCCTGACGAAGGATCGCCAGCTGCTTCAGCCTCTGCCAGGACTCGTTCAGCTCCTCCTTTCTGCCCAGGATTGTGTCGCGCTCTGGGTGGCCGTCCAGCAGAAGCTTGTCAGCCAGTTCGTTTACTTCTGTCACTCTGTACTCCTGGCTCGCCATGTCCTTCTGGAACTCGTCGAACTTTCGTTGCAGCACCTCCACGTGCTCAAGGTCGTGGCCGAACTCGTCTGTCGTGACGAAGGCCTCCTTGTCGTGGATCCAGAACATGACTTCGTCGCAGTGGCGGAGGAACTGGACCAGGACCAGCGCCTGCTGGAGCTTCAGACCCTTGTCGGCCAGGCGCGAGAGCAGCAGCTCCCACAGACGGTGCAGCTCCTCCAGGCGCTTTCGGATTAGGTCGCTGGAGAAGTGGTGCTGGGCGATCATCTCAGAGCCGGTGTTGTCCAGGAGGACGATCGCGTTAGAGTGCGCTGCCACCTCCGCCTCGAAGGCCTGGTGCTTCTGGATCTTTGCTTGGAGGTTCGTGGGGTCTTTGTAGTTCTCGTCCGAGGCCGCTTGCAGCTTCTCGTATATCCAACCCTCGAGCTCGTCGGCATCGCGCTTGAAGTACTGGAAGGAGGGGTTTATTTACTTTAGACAAGAATATTTGAGGAGCGAGAGGGTGGAATTGTTCAGGAATTTTTTGATACTCTTTTGGGAATTTCGGGAAATCTAGGGGATTTAGGGAGAAATGTCAAAAGAGCTTTTAGGTGGGGCTTGACATTCTCTACAAAAAGTGTCTCTTGATGGTTTTTGGTAGAGCTGTCCTGTTGGGAGATTTCTCCAATGGAGAGGGAATAGCACGAATAGTGTGCCTGAATGACTTGTATAGTTAACTTCATTGTAATCTTTTTTCGAGATTGTTAATGAAAATGATAATGATGGTGATATGTGATGACAACTGTGGGACTGTGAAAGTGATGAAACTGATATTGTGAATAACAAATATAAATGTAAATAATATGTTGAAAAAAAAATGATTAAAAAAAATAATAAATTGCTAAATTGAAAACTAAATTATAATGAAGTCAATTATCCATAAGATTCATTCGTAATAATTTCTATATTTTGGTTTTCGCTCAAGAGATTTTTCTGTCTCAGGGAAATAACTGGTTGCTTCTAATCTAATGAAGATTGACGATTACAAAACACTCGAACTTTGAGGGGTTGAGTTCACAGATGATAATATTTGGGGAGTGAAGAGGGAGAAGAATTGCCTAAATTATCGAGGTTTGGAGTTGTTGAGGAATTTTTTGATACTCTTTTGGGAATTTCGGGAAATCTAGGGGATTTAGGGGGAAATGCCAAAAGAGCTTTTAGGTGGGGCTTGACATTCTCTACAAAAAGTGTCTCTTGATGGTTTTTGGTAGAGCTGTCCTGTTGGGAGATTTCTCCAATGGAGAGGGAATAGCACGAATAGTGTGCCTGAATGACTTGTATAGTTAACTTTATTGTAATCTTTTTTCGAGATTGTTAATGAAAATGATAATGATGGTGATATGTGATGACAACTGTGGGACTGTGAAAGTGATGAAACTGATATTGTGAATAACAAATATAAATGTAAATAATATGTTGAAAAAAAAATGATTAAAAAAAATAATAAATTGCTAAATTGAAAACTAAATTATAATGAAGTCAATTATCCATAAGATTCATTCGTAATAATTTCTATATTTTGGTTTTCGCTCAAGAGATTTTTCTGTCTCAGGGAAATAACTGGTTGCTTCTAATCTAATGAAGATTGACGATTACAAAACACTCGAACTTTGAGGGGTTGAGTTCACAGATGATAATATTTGGGGAGTGAAGAGGGAGAAGAATTGCCTAAATTATCGAGGTTTGGAGTTGTTGAGGAATTTTTTTATACTCTTTTGGAAATTCCGGGGAGTCTGTTGCCCAGTTTTCAACAAATATCTCGGAATGTGAGCGGGCTATCAAAATTTTCGTCAGGACCTTTTTTGTAGCCCTCAATTCACTCTACAAAAAAGGTCATGACAAAAATTCCGTCATCTCCCTTAAATTCGGAGATATTCTCAATAATCCAACCGTTTTGCCACTTCGCTACTGATTTTCTTCGAATCGTTCCCGCATTTTCCTCCAATTGTTAAAAAAAATTAAAATTTGTCATTACCTGGAATCGACGTGAGTCCTCGAGTTTATCTCTCTTGCTCCTGGCCTCCGCCTTGAAATTGGAGTACCTCCCGAGCACCTGTTCCCTCCTCTCCTGAATGTCCTCAGGATTTTCGAGGATCTTCACCTCTTTCGGCGTTATCTGATCCATTATTAGACGATCACCGGACGTTGGGGACGTCCCCGAGTGGTTTACCCTGAGCAATCAAGCCCCAAAATGGCCGTCGGGTGTGGCTGAGCAACGGTGGGATCGATAAACTCTCCAGAGACGGCGTACTTTCACAAATTCTGAAACAAAAAATCACGATTTTTTCGGCTTAAACGACTCCTCAACCCCGGGAATTCACTCTACACATTTATTCACGTTGAATTCAGGAGAATTCACGGGAATCCAGGCATTTACGGAATTACTTTGGCACTCGTACCAGTAATTGATCCTTGCTGTCGCCTGCGCACGAATAACTGAATCAAAGAAGACGAAAGATGACATCAGCGCCACTTACGGTATCTGGTGACAGAGTGGGGGAATTCAAACAGAAAACACTTTGTCCGCATGAGCTCATGCGATGGGAATGTTGATTGCAGTCGATTATAATAATGGGATTTTTTTATTCGTGTATCAACCTACAGTGGATTATTTATAAACATTTGCAAGAATATTACATTTCAATTTGGCTTTGCTTGTTGTCTTTTTGAAAACAATAATTTTATCATTCTAGATTGTAATTCAGTAGCGAAGTGGCAAAACGGTTCAAGTCAATTTTGACTATTGGCCAGTTTTCAGCGAATATCCCGGAATCTAATGGAGATGGCAAAATTTTTGTTATAAACTTTTTTGTAGAGCCAATTGAGAGCTACAACAAATGCAATTACGAAAATCCCGCTATCTCCCTTAGATTCGGAAATATTCCTCAAAAACTCAACTGGGAGATAAGTCGACTTAAACCGTTTTACCACTTCTCTACTGAATTCATTATTTATTTCCTTTTATTAAATTGAATAAATTTCTTTCGACTCATTTATTTCAGATTTTCAACTAAGTTGACTGTAAGAGGTACTTGGATATTCTTAAGGTTCACTTATTTGCATTGAAGGTTAAAAAATGATAAACTAATTGACAAAATGGTGTTCTCAATTGTCAATTGAGTAAATAATTCAGAATTTTTATGTTTAATCGAACTTAATAATAAAAAAATTATTGTTCAATTCAAAATTTACGCTTATTCCGATGTCTGCTCACCAACAAATAACTGAAAACCCTCTCCCCCGCCACAAAATAAATAAAAACTCCAGCGCACCTATGATACATCATGATTTTTATTAAATTTCACCTACAAACAACGAATCACAGAACGTTACATTAGAGTTCCTTACGTCAATCCATCATAATTTTCCTTTTTCTCCACATATTACAATAGTCATTACAATGATCCCTATCATAATAAAGTCTTATTCGTTAAAATATCTCGTAATCAATGTTATGCATATCGTAAATTTACTGTATCCCTCCTAAAAATAGGTTCTGCAGTTGTCACTCCCCGTCCCTCCCACCCCAATTGGTAATAGGTACTTCATCATTGTACTTGATCCTCCCAAGGTACTCAATCCCAAAAATCCAGCCTCAAACCCTCAATCGTAATAAAAAAACAAGAACAAATCGTCGGAGCAACTGGGATATTAAGTACTGACAAACCTTTGTATTTCATTTTCAAAAAATTCATTAAAACATTTTTCACAATTCCCCCCCTCCCCCCATTGTCTCCCCATATCATCATTTAGTTAAAAGGCAACTCTTTGTCATTACGTAAAAGGCAATTCGCTTTGTATCATCAGTATGTCCTGGCGTCCCAGCTGATTGGATGTGTAAACCTGATTATTCTCCCTGCTTTTTTTTTTTTTCAAATATTAATCATTAAATGCATGTGTGGGTCGTCACAGGAGTAATTGGCAGCACAATAGGATGTCACGATTGTGACTGATGAAATAAAACCTCAATTAACAAAAAAAGACGTTATTTTCTCGCTAAAAATCCCACTTTCACCGAAAAATCATCTAGTTTTATCTTAAAACCTGAATTCCTGAATGAAGTGTCCTCACATATTTTTCAGAGAGCAGTTTTGCCTTATCCTAAAGAAAAACCATTCAACAATTCAACTAATCGTACGAAAGAGAAACGAATTTACCACAATTTTCTCGTTAATGTACCTTAAATCACTAATCTATGTACAAAAAATAATAATTAAACCTAAGGGACACGTCTGAAAGCTCACGTACACACCCCAGGGGCCAACGAATAAACTCATAATTTATTGAATTGAAAACTTACTGATAGACTATATACACACCAGGCTGATCACAGTGACTGGTTAGAAAAAAACGTCACAATAATTGGAAGCTTCAATGGTCATTATTTTGTTTATAATGTGCGTATCGATAAACTGAGCATTGATTCACTCTCATTACAAGATTAATTGGTAAAAATTGTTGTACTTTTTGTTAGATAAAAACTATCAAATTGTTGACGTTGAGAAACTGTGATCGACCGACGTGAAATATTCTTTATATTTAATATCTCACAGAGACACATCAACACTCGCCATTTACTACATAACATACAATATATATTTATATTTATATAATAATATAATATTCAATAGATACTAAATGTTTATCATCTTTATATAATATATACAGAGACAGGTGGTCTCGATAATTCTATGAACCATTAACATTATACCATTTTTTTCCCGAATTTTCACGCTTTTCTTTCACTAAGTAAAACTCTTTTTGGACCGCGTGTCAGCCAGCACCAATCGTTGGTCATCGAGATTAATTTCACTGATGGATACTAGGAAAAAAAAAAAACACCCCCTGACCTCTCAGCCCTCGCGTAAACCTTGTCACAGCCCACAATTCGTTTCATATAGTCTACAGCCCTTTCTCATCTCGATCCATCAACAATTATAAGTCCAATATACAATAAATAATTTATCGAATGTACAATTTTGCCATCATCCCCTCAAATGACGAGATAACAATTTTATATAAATTATGAAATAACAGAGGATTAGAAAATTATGAGGGGATAATTCATTTTCTCCCGCGAGATTGGTCAGGGGGTTTAAGTTTGGGGTACGTGCCACAGTGGAATTTTGTGAGTGTCGTTGCGACAATTAGCAATTATCCACAGGGGATAGGCCTTATCTCACGCACCAGTGCAATCAATCTCGATTATGTCCTTGGGTACGTCGACGAACTGATAGACGAGCCTCTGGCCATCGACTTTGGCTAGTATACCACGCTGATAGTAGTATCTCAGGGCACGTCCCATTGTCTCGTAGTTCATGTCTGGTTTGTTTTTGTGGAGACCCCACAGCCGTGACACTGCCTTGCTGTCGACGAGTTTGAAGACACCTCTCTCGCGATTTGTCCATTTTATGTAGCGGGGACAGTACTCGCGGTCCTGGAGGAGCTTCAGGAGAAATTCCCAGAGATAAGTTGTTGAGCCCTCGCGGGATTTTCGCTTCACTGCCGCACCGTCCGCCTGGCGCGCCTTCTTCAGTTTACTTTTCTTTGCCCGCGGGGGGAAACCGAGCTCCAGGAGGTAGAGATCGTCCGATACTGAGCTCGTTGCTGCCTGGATCACACTCGTCGGCACACCGCCTGGACCGCGCGGCGGCGAGGGCGTGCACGGCGCTGCAAACTGACCCCCACCGTACATCGAGTTCACGTAGCTGTTGTAGCTCTCTGATACTGGAATTATAACATTTTTTAAAGAGTTTTTTACATTCAAAATTTTTTTTTCCAAGGGCTTTTCGGTGGTTTAGGCATTTTGACCCTTGTGACCCTAGAGTGTCGAAGGGTTTATTGATCTCTGATACTGGAATTATAAAATTTGTTTATTTTTTTTTCACAAAAAAAAAAAAATTTTTTCTAGGCGCTTTTGGGGGGTTTAGGCATTTTGACCCGTATGACCCTAAAATTTCGAAGGATTCACAAGGATTTATTGAGTCCTGTGATGAGAGAGTATTTGAAATTATTTTTGTGACTTCAATACATTTAAAAAATTTTTTGACCCTTGTGACCCTAAAAATCTCTGACAACCGACTTCAAATGCCTTTGGAATTAGTTTTATCGGAGGAACTGGCCGTTTCTACTTGCAGTAGATAACACCCCCAATCTGTTTTATCATCCGAATGACGACAAGCGCCAACAGATGGCGGGTCAATACCTTCAAACCGCTCGAGACAAAGACTGGGACATGTATCGTCATTGCAATCATTACGTCGATATCACTTGGAATCTAGGACAATTTTAATGACGATATATCTCTGTCAAGAGGCATTTAACAATCGCCGATAAGACAAGTAACTTAAGGGGGCAACAATTCGTGTCAAAACACCCACATCAGAGAGACCAATTGAAGCGTAAGAAAGATGAAATCGAAGATTGCGATTAGATATGATGAGAGAGAATCTTCAATCCGATAATGCATGATCTTTGATCATTTCCGTTAATACCCTGAGACCCCATGATTCACTCATCTTTCACTTTCCCGGAAATCAAAGCCGGAGAAATTCCACTTTGCAGTCTATATAATCCCATCTCGTTGTCACGAATTTCCGCCTCATTATCTCACGAAAATAACTGTTATCTCGATTTTTTAATGCTCTTATCAATTATTATGAAATCCAGGCGATAACCTCGGTCAAATGAACAAAATTCTCGCAGTCTCTTCGACAATTTGCAACATTTTAACGGCCGCCGTCACCAATCTACAATCCAGATGATATTATATCCTGAGATGGTGTATTATCTGGGTTTTCTGGAGATGATGTACAAATTCTGATCCGATGTTGTGATGCACTATAATTTTATATGCACGGTTGAATCTGAAGGTGATATTATTTGGACATAATTATCTAGATGAAACGGTATCTACAGATACATAATGATCTGAATATTCACCGTCGGATCTGAATATATCATGATTTCTAATATTATACTCATGAGATTCTGTGCAGATGTAAATTTTCATATGATACAATCTAAAGATAATGCCCCAGATAAACTATCATCTAAAAAAGATAACCACCTGAACCGTCTGCAGATCTCCCAATAGTCGATTATCACTACCATGTCTACCACCTCGAGTTGATGCTGCACCGATCAAAAATCATCTAGATAATCCTCTCCATTACCGCATCCACAATTCATTTCCGATCCCCATAATCTCAATTGCCGCACCGAATCATTTAATAACCCCCCAAAACCCCATTACCAGACGGATATGACGGCACATCATACCCATTCCCCCAATCTACCCCATGAAAAAAGCCCCAAAAAAAAATCTAAAAAATTTATCCAACAAGAAATAAGCGAATCAGTATGTATAAGCAGGAATACAAGGCGGCAGTTGCACCAGTAGTGGGGATGAGTGCCGCCTGGCAGTATGATAGAGGACTGACCCGAGCCAAGGTTGCAACGGGTGACGCCATCCCCCCCCCCCCCC